ATATTAATATATTTTTTTGATTTTTCAAATATATGTTCTAAATTTTACCTGCTTTATAATAAGTGTGAATTTATTTTAATATTTCTTCTCAAAAAATAGCCACTTCGATTTAAAAAAGGGCATATAAAATAAGGTGTGCTTTCAAGTTTCTCTCTGAGCATTGGGACTTGTTAGATATAAAGACATTAACCCTGCACTAAGATTTGTTGTTGTAATTATTTTTTTCTTATGAGTGTTGATTTTTCTCCTTTTCTTTTTTCACTTTCTCAATCTCATCTTTATTTATTTCTCTCCATCACATTTGACAAATAGCTGAAATGAACATATTTTGATCATTTTTGTCTTATCGCAACACTTATCTGTTTTAACCATGAATCTAATAAAACACGGATAGCTGGCAAATAATAATATTTGAAGCCAATATAAAATGTTTTTTTTTTTATTTTTTGGAACATAAAAAGTGGTGCGAAAAATACGGTTCAAAATATGGTATGTTTAACGGTTTGAAAATATGCTTTGGAAACATGAATGTAATTAAAAATTAACGTGAGTTACTTTTTCAATAAAAAAATTGTAATTTTTCAACATTCATATACATATATATTTTTATTTTTGACATATATACATTCTAATTTAGATGTTACATGTTGGCGAATATTTTTTTTTATATTTAATGTTAACCACTTTCCTTCATGGTAAAGTCGAATTTTTACATGCTCAGATGCTATTATTGTAACTAAATTTAATTTGTTATTATCGTGCATCCTTTAACACAACAAATTTTTCCTATACTAATTATAATAATAAATTTAACTTTACCACTGAATTTTCTTAAGTTCTTTAATAGTTTATATAAAACTTGTCACTGCGAGAGCTCGCACTATTATAATTCTGTGATATTTAAAAACAAGGATAAATGAGCCTAGTGAACACTTTGAAAACTTTAAAATTAAATGAAAAGGATAAAGGAACAAAGTCACTGTGTATATGATGTGATATAAGTCGCCTAAAAACAGTATAATTTTTATACAAAAGCTAGTGCAATAAAACATCAGGGTACAGTTGACTTGGAAATATCATACATTACAAAATGCTTAAAACATACCTCTTTTGAACGAATTGTTGTTGCGATTATTTTCTATTTAGCAAACAGAACAAACAATAATGGTAACTAAGAAATTATTTTTGCATCTACCTATACAGATATAAGTTATCTGTACGGAGTATTATAGCATTCATAAAACGTATTATAGCTTTCTATTTTTATAAAATATGTAAGAACTCAAGCGTATAGTTTTGTGTATATAAAGTAAATAAGTAAATAAAGTAAAATGTGTGGTTTTCTGTTTTTCTTTCAAAAAATTAAAAAATTAGGAAATAAAAGTGACAAGAAATTTTACAAAATATAAACAGAAAAAAAATAAAGTTCAGCGAAAGAATGCAGGCGAAATAATAGGGACTGGTAGAAATTGCAACCTGAAATATACTCAACAGGTAATTTGAAATTTCTATTTTATACTTATATCCAGTGCTCGAAGTGAGGCGGGATGGAGTGGGATGCCATCCCAGTACTTTTAAATAATTGGAAATCCATCCCACTACTTAATAGCAGAGAAAAATGCGTTCCGGAACATGTTTTTTAAAATTTAAGAAAATTTTCTAGTGAATTTTAAAAATTTTTTTTAAAAAAAATTAAATATATGTAATTTTAAATAAGACCAATTTCAAATAGTAACGTATAATTTTTTTCTATTAATGAAATTTTCGTTACTACATAGTAGTCTATGCATTTCTTTGGTAACAATTTGCACAGTTTTTGATTCAATTTTTAGTTGATTTAATTTTGAATATAAATATTCTCGTTAGTTCACTTCCAAAGTTTTGTAAATTTTGTTTAGTTATTTTTTTAAAAAATAACTAAAATACTTAATACTTTTTTTTTTTTTTTACCATCCCACCACTTTGAGCATCCCACTTCGGCAACTGCTTATATCAATATATACATGTATCTATGTACTTTAATAAATTTAATTTTTAGGTTCAAATGAAAACTTATTTGATGAATATAAAATTCGATGGATGAAACTTGTTAGAATTGTTGGATCTTATTGAATCATCATAATTCATCGTAATATGGATGCATAATAAATTCATTAGATAATATTAATGTGAATTTTGTATTCTTTGTGTTTTGTTTAGGAAATTATTTTGGTGCCTGTGACATTCCGACGGAACAATACCAAAACTACTAAAGTTTTTCATTATTAGAATTTTTTACTTATTTCCAAAGTTTACAAAAAAAATCTTATCAAAACGTCTATTTAATTTTAAAGTAAGGCGTGGTAACAGTACGTCTATGACAGTAAATTTTTCATATTCTCGCTGCGCCTACCTCTTGTGCTAATCTGTTAGGCCACCAAGCTGAAATTATTTTTGTGAATTCAAAGTACTCCTTTTAAAAAAATTTTTTTATTTTATTTTTAAATTCTTGAGTATTTTTTGTGACTCATTTTATTTAGCATGTTTGCAAAAGCAATCTACATTATGCTCAGGGTTAACACTTTTTTTAAATTTGCGTACCGTAATTGATAAAAAAATGTAGGTAATAAAATGTAGCAAATTAAAAAAAAACATAACATGACTTCATTTTTATTTGAAAAAAAATACATAAAACAATTTAACAAAAAAAAATGTAAGAAAAAATTAAACCAAAAATAATATCAAAAATTTAAAGTTTAAAAAAAAAAATAGTAAGAACTTCACCCGGAATTTGTGTAAATAACCTTATAATTTTAAATTGTTTTGTAATTGTTTTGTAGTTTAATAATAATAACTAAATAAAATAAAAAGTTGAAGAAAAATTTTTCGAAAATTACTATTTTGTTTAAAACTTATTAAACTATGCAAATGAAAATAGTTCGTATTGAATTTTGTATTAGCGAAAATCATAAATGAAGTAATATATAAATAATTCCCGTTGAACATAAATTTTCAAAGCATTTTTTCTGTTGCGTAAGACTCCTTATACAAAAAATCAGAACAAAAAATCAAAAGATTTTTCTTTCAGCTGTTTTTTTTTCTTGTAATGATTTGATGAATTGAATCACTTATATTATGCACAGTTTTTCTACAGGGTTCTTATTGTTTATCGAAAAACTTAGTTATATTTTAATTAGATGTAATTGGTTTTCTTCGAATACATTATGAATTATTGTTCTTTTTATGAACTATAAACTAGAAAGTTAAATTAATCTAAAAATTAATATTTTTCCTAAGAAAATATTAAATAACCGATTTAATTACAAAAAAAAAATATAAATAAGAGTTTATATGTTTGTACACACGTGTATCTTTATATAGGAGTTTACGCATAAGTGCATATATTTGAATTTTTTTGTCAAAAACATATAAGTATATATCTAGAATATAATAATGATATAATTAGGCACGAAATTAATTTGATATTGCTTTATGTTTAGAATTCCATAAATAAACTTAAGCCAAAATTCATCTCAATAAAGCCAACCGTATAATATATGTGTTGATAAAAAGAAATCATTTACACGTTTAACTTATCTACATAAAAGAAATGATTGTCGATATTATTATGATCTATATTGGCATAATATTAGTATTTTGTTACCATAAAGAAAAATTTTTTATTGTTACAAGATTTTAAAATTTTGATGTACGATTTCATATTGCTAACTGATGTCATATACATAATATATCTATATATAGAATTGCAACATATACAGCTATGGTCTTTTATATCTTTTGTAAATTATATTCGAATTAAATGCTATCTTTTGCAAAATTATTTTGCTATATTATGTTCTATTGTGAATATATTTATTCTCACTAAAAAACTGTAATCTGCGGGAATTCACCATTTGAAAGTAAAAATACCGTATTTCATCTGGTCAAAATAATAGAAACACCCGACGAATGTAGCTCTATTGATGAATAAAACTAATTTTTTTTTAAACTATTTAAGCAAATATTGAACAGTATTTAAATTATAATAATCCAATAATTTGATTTTTTGAAAAAGTGGAAAAATATTGCAGAATTAGGGCTCGATCGAATCATTGCAGTGTTAAGGAAAAATAAATAATTAAAAACTTAAGAAACTAAGGAAAAAGTGTAAAAGAAATTGCCACAATTATTGAACGTTCAGTACATTTAGTTTTTAACGCTTTAAAAAGTAATAAAAGTCCTGAAACATGAGGAAGAAAGCAATAAACAAGTGAAAAACTGAACAGAAAAATTGTAATGATATGTAAAAAAGACCCATTCAAATCTTCAAAAGCAATTTTAAAAGAATGTCAGGCTAATGTGAGTGGTAGAACCATACGCGGAATATTGAACAAAAATAATTTATTCGAAAAGTTCCTTATGTCAGTAAAAACAATATTAAAGATAGAAAAACTTTTTGCTAAAACTCATTCGGAGTGCAGTTCGCCAGAGGGTGTAAAAAAGTGGCGTAATATCTGTTTTGACTCTGGCTTAATTTAGCCAGGGTGATTCTAAAACTTATAATAATTTTTTTGGAAAATTACTTATCTACGAATAAATAAAAATAATGAACTATAATTTAACAACTAATTATATTTTTGATTTTGAATAATACCAACAATTATTTTTATGTTTCATCGATTCGACAGTGTTTTTGCGAATCGAAATTTTTAGAATTTAAGACATTGCTAATGTTAATTCAAAAAACAGTAAAATTAAGTTTTAAGAGAATTTATAATACAAGAGAAAAAATGCAAGAGAAAATAAGAAATTCGAAAATTACAAATTTACATATATGTATACACATACAATTTTACATATAAATTTATTAAAATGAGGTAAACAGTATTAAAAAATATTAAAAAAAATGTAAAGTTACAATGAACTGTCGAAATCAATCCAAAAAAATTATAACAAAATGATTATTGCTAAATCAGGTATTAACATGCCGGCGCCTTTGAAAGTTCCTGGGAAAGAAACTTTCAATCAGCCAGCGGAAGTGGTGCTAATGTATGTATTTGTCGCCTGAAGATTTTGTTACGGCATTGAACATCGACAACTCGCACATTATTATCAGAGCCAGGATACAACCTTACAATTTTGCCAATCGCCCAATGTTGTGGAGGTAAGTTGTCACCGCCAATCAAAACCAGTGTACCCATTGTTAAATTACTTGCTTGAGAGGGCCATTTATTCCTGCGTTGAAGTGTGGTTAGATATTCCTTAGACCAACGAGACCAGAGTTTTTGTTGTAGAAATACAATACGATGAAAACGTTTTAAAGATGTTATGTTGACGTCTTCGTTACGCAATGGTTCTGGTAATGCGTTTAAAGGTCCACCTACAAGAAAATGACCAGGCGTTAGTACTTGTTCATCACTAGGATCTGAGGAAAGGGAAATTATGGGACGAGAATTTAGGATGCTCTCAATTTGTGTGATTAGAGTTTGCATTTCGTCGTAAGTCAGATTCATATTCAAACAGCAACGATTGAGATGAAACTTAGCTGCCTTAACGGCAGCCTCCCACAAGCCTCCAAAATGCGGTGATCTAGCTGGTATGTGGTGAAATTCGATGTTGTGATTTGCACACCAACAAGATACATCATTCTTGAATTGTTGATCATTGAATTTGTCTGCTAATTCCCTTAAAACATGTCGAGCCCCGACAAAGTTCGTTGCATTGTCGCAGTACAGATCACGACACAGTCCGCGACGTGATGTGAAGCGTTTTAAACAAGCGATGAAGGCTTCAGACGTTAGAGATGACACAATATCTAAGTGAACTGCGTGAGTGGTAAAATATACAAAGACTGCAACATATGCCTTATAAAGTCTTTTGCCACGCCCACCTGGTGAAATCATAACAGGTCCACGAAAATCGACTCCGCTGACCAAAAAAGCTCGATTTAATTCGACTCGGTACTTAGGTAGGTCACCCATAATTTGTTCTGCCAACTTCGGTCTGAATTTGAAACAGCGTATGCATTTTTGAACGATTTTTGACACAATTGCTCGACCATTCGTAATCCAAAATCGCTGACGCAGAGTTGCTAAGAGAGCTTGAGGTCCAGCATGCAGATTTTGAACATGAAAATGCGATATTAAAATTTTCACAAAATGTTCATCATTTGGCAAGAATATTGGGTGTTTGGCTGAGTGTGTAATATTTGCATTGCTAAGTCGTCCTCCTACTTTTAAGAGCGTCACAGAATCTTCTTTTTCTAAAAATGGATTAAAGTTTTTTAATATGCTTTTCGAAGGAATTTCTTTATTATTGTGCAAATTATTTATTTCCGAAGAAAAATGAATATTTTGAATAATTTCAATTATTTTCAAGAGGGCATAATTTCGCTCATTACGAGATAGTACATCAATATTACGAGAAGTTTTTGTACTTTTGCAATTTTTCGAAAATCTGAAAATGTATGCAAAGATGTTTATAATTTTATTATAATTACTAAATTTTGATATGATATCATGTACTTAGATAATTATCACACTTTTGACTTGTGAATGAGTTGTGTGTAGCTCGCTTTTCTAAAGTTGTAGATTGAACACTTTTAACCTTTTGCATAGGCCAATAATCGTTGGTTTTCCTCAGGAAGTCTGGACCAATGAACCAAGTTGAATTTATTAATTCTGATACATTTGAACCTCTTGACAAAATGTCAGCTGCATTCGCCTTAGTGTTGACATGCAACCATTTACAATTTTCTGTTAATTGTTGGATTTGCGAGACTCTATTGGCAACAAAAACAGTCCATGTAGAAGGATGTGCTGAAATCCATGACAACACAATCTCAGAATCAGACCATAAAAATATTTCATTGATTTCAACGCCTATTATTTGATTTACTTTGTTTATTAAATTAGACAAAAGAAGTGCAGCACACAGCTCGAGACGAGGAATCGATTGAGTCTTTATTGGAGCAATTTTTGATTTAGAAGTACCATAAGTAACAGTTTTAAGCTTGAACGTTTGAATTTCTTCTGAAGTAAAAACTGCCTATACATCTTGCAAATATCAGCTTTTAAGCCATACTTGTAAAATCGAAATCTGAGTAGAATTGAATATAAGTCTTCTTGAACTGGAGGACCAATCATAAGTATATCATTTAATGAAAGCCCAGATGTTGTAGCACAACTGCCATCAAATACGACACGAAATTTAGTTGTAGATGAATCTGGTTTTAATACACAATGATGAGGAAGATAGTATTTGACAAGCCTTTCATCATGTTTGGGAACAAGTTCCATGTGATCTAACCTTAAATACTCTTCCAAAAATTTCGAATATTCTTCCTTAAGATTGGAATTTGAGTTTAATCGCCTTTCCAATGACAGAAAACGTTTTTCGGCAATTTGCCTAGATGAACCAAGTTCAGAGAAATGACGTTTGAATGGTAATTTAACTATTATTTTACCAGAGGATGATCTCTTGACAGTAGATTTGAAAAAACGTTCACATGACAATTCTTCCTCAGTTAGCTTGTTTGAATTAGTTTCGACCGACTCAATTTGCCAAAAGTTTTTTACTAACTCGTGTAAATTAGCATCTGTGTTAACTTCATTATTTTCCAAGGTCGACCAGTGAATTGCAATTGATTGATTTCGGATTGGAAGCATATTTACCCGAAACTATCCAACCAAAGAGTGTTTTTTGCAATAAAGGCATATCAGAGCCCAATTTAATTTGTCCGACGGACATAATATTAAAAAATACTTCAGCGCCGATCAAAATATCAACATTTTGTTAAATAAAAAATTGTGGATCAGCCAATTCAATATTTTTAGGAATATTCCAATCCTTGATGACTACAGGAGAATCAGGCATAATTCCAGCTATGGATGGTAAGATAAACATGTCTAAAGGGGCAGTGAAATCATTATTCGAGATTTTATAATGAATTGTGTCGAAAATTTAATTTTTACATTAGTGTTGGCAATTCCACTAATGCCAGTATTTAAACGTTGTTTCTTTAGTCCAAGATGATTAGCCAATCGGCGTCCGTTGTCGGCGTCCGTTGGTATGTTCGTAATACAGACATTCATGGGGATCTTTTTTCTCCTTTTATAACGGATGAGATAAAGAAGAGGGCCTTGCGCCATACATTTCGTTTATCTCATCAATCGTCTCAAGTTGTCCCCTGTATATTTCTTTTTTCCTGTAGTGTAGCTTTTTTGAAATTTTAAAAAAATAAACAGAACCTGGAAGGTTTTTTTTAAATCAATTTTTAATGTATTAATAACACAAAACTTTCACAACGTAAGACACCAGTAAAGTAGAAAAAGATTGCATTTTAACTTTTTCTAATTAAAAATTTGAAAAAAGTTGATCTTGTGGGAAATTTATGATGTTAAAAAGGGCCCTCTATAGATCCCATAAGAATACCCGTAAATTCGTCAGCTGTGAACTGTCACTCTCTCTTAGGGTCTCTTAGGCATGAATTTTTTCAAAGAGAAAAAAAATAATGAGTTTTGTTTAAATTTGATTTTTTTACAGATACTTAAAACAAAAAAATATTTTGAAATATGTTTTAGTTTTTACTTTAAAAAAATTTAAACTTGTCTTTTCTACTACTTACACATATTTTGTATTAGAGGACAAATAAGAAAATAAAATAAACGCGCTCCTGTTACGACTTTGATAATGCTCGGAGCAAAGAAAGAAACAACTAGAAAAAATTTGGCTTCATTGTTTTTTTAAGATATCCCTTCAGTATTTGTAATTCGTTCGTTTTTATTTTATAGTCGAAATATTTATCATTTTTGATGTATTTCCTTTCCTACCATTTTCTGATGTATGGTATTTCCAGGGCAACAGTATCCTGATGAAATTTAAAAATTCAATGAGTCTGTTTACAGTAGCTTGTGTATTAAAAGTATAGTATTTCTGAGGCGGTTTATAGCAGATCATACACAGTGACTTTGTTCCTTTATCTCTTTCATTTAATTTTAAAATTTCCAAAATGCATTTCCTTTTAAATTTTTCAAAATGTAATGGTAGGTGCATTTGTCGTTATTTTTAAAATATCACAGAATTATTATAGCGTGAGCCCTCGCAGTGACAAGTGTTAAATAAACTATTAAAGAATTTAAAAAAACCAGTGGTAAAGTTAAATTTATTATTATTATAATTAGTATGGGAAAAGTTTGTTTTGTTGAAGGATGCACGATAATCACAGATTAAAGTTAGTAAGAATAATAACATCTGAGTATATAAAAATTGGATTTTATCATGAACTAAGCTTAGCAAAGAAGAAAAATATTCACTAGTATATACAGGCGCGGTATTCGTCGCCCTAAGCGGTTCCTAAAAAGTGCGCCCCTTCCCCCCCTTCAACCGTTTCACCTATTTTATTACTGTGAACAAAATTTAATAGGCATTGCACATTGTGCATCATAAAGCACTTTCTTGTAACCTTATTATGTTGAATGCAGAACTAATTATAGAATTAAAGTCTGGAACTAAACTTTCAATTTTTTTTTTTATAAATTCCAAAACAAGGTAATTTATTTAACTGAATGTTTTTTTATCAATCATTTAAACTTGATTTTTTTAATTTTAACAACCAAAAAATTTACTTTTTGACGTAAGTGAAACTTATTGTAAAAGGTTCTATGAAAATTATATCAAATGAACTTTTTCAAAGCTTATTTGAATATGAAAAAAAGTAAAAAATTATTTTTATTTTTATTCGTAATTTTAAATTTACGAATAAAATTTGGCTTTTTATTTCACAAATGCCTGAGAAATGAAGCTGCGTATAAAAAAAGTTTCGACTTGTATTCAAAAATTTAAGGAAAATCAAAGTTTCGTTCTAAAATTTGTGACTTAAAAACTAAGCTTTTCATGTACATAGCTATAAGCTTTTATACTGTTCATTATATTTTTTAGATTTTATTAAAATAAATGCATTTACTGGTATTTATAGGCTTGTGGTTTTGAAATTTCAGAATGTCGTTTTGCTTTAATGTTTAATTTTAGAGAGAAATGTGTGAAACAAATTATGCGCCATTTCACTTTACTCTTATTTTTTGGATGACTTACACTACATCAATTCAACATAAAAATTCTTAACATTCGCTTGATTATTAAACAACATTTTTTCAATTCAGTATAAGTAGTAGATATTACCAATTAATATTTAATTCTGCGATTGTTAACAGTTTTAACTCAAAAACGAAAGCAAAACATAGCAGTAGAAATTCATAACGATCATGTAATTTTGAAATTCATTCAAAATTTTTTGTTGCTAAACAAAAAGAAAATATTGGTATACACAATCTCAATATCAAGCTATGCATTCCATTATCAGTGTTCCCATTTGGTAAAAACAAAATGTATCCAATTTCGAGGAAAAAATGTATCCAAAATGTATCCAACCTCATAAAGCAGAATTTTTATACCAAGCCGTCCTATTGTTGGTTTTTTTATTTATAGTAAATTCTTTAAGAAATCACATATAACTTCTATTATATTTTAAATGTGTTAAAAGTTAAGGTCAGAATATGCATATGTTTTGCATATATGTTGTTGAACTATATGCTAAAGACAATTCACCATTAAAACGGAAAAATTTAAAAAAATATGTACAGCCAATGCATTTTCTATTACAACTAGCTTACTCCAAAATATTTCTGGTACGTTTTTGTCTAAATGTTCTAGATTTGAATACAGGAAGAGGCAGCACTCATTTAATAAAGCAGATTTCTTACTTTCCTTTAGTAAACTCGGAAATCTGCTTAGAAATGCCAGGAAATAACACTTTTGAAAGATAAAGCAATTACGCGTTTTAATATTAGCAGCATTTTAACAGTTTTGTAACATTTATTTAGTGTTTAGAGAATAAATGTATCCATATTTCAGCAAAATTTTGAAATGTAGCCAATTTCAGCATTTTAGCAGATTTGAGTATCTTTGTATCCAAGCTAAATTTAAAGCAAAAAATGTATCCAAATGGATACAATTGTATCCAAGTGGGAACGCTGTCCATTATTTAAGAATATTGCTCTCATTCTCTTTTTCTAATTTCTTTCTATTCTCATTCTTAATTTTTTTTTTCTTTTTTGTTCTTGTTGTTTACTAATAATAATTTAATTAACAAAATTATAATAATGTGTTTGTTTGTTTGGTGAGTGGGCGACAACTAAGCATAAATAAAATTTTGCATATATGAAACAATTTAAATATAATGTGTACGAACGAGTGTAGCCAGGACGATCACTAAGCATAATAAAAATTTTGCTTTGCGATATAATTATATGTGTACGAGCGAGTGTTGATGGGGAGCAATCTCAGCAAAATAAAAATCTTGCTTTATGAGTTAATTATATGTGTATGCATGAGCGTTGATCTTATTCATATTAAACAATATAAATTATGTGTGCATGTATATCTTTGAATATTTTTATTTTTTGCGTATCTTGCTTCTATGTATGTATGTATATTATATGAGACAATTTCCCTTATGTACATGTAGGATTGAATGTGTTTCTGTTTTCTGTTTATAGGCATAATATACGAATTTATTCTACTATGTATTTAAAGGGAAAAATTAATAATTGAATAAAAAAGTAGCGTAGAGTAAGAAAACGTATCAATAATTTTGATTCTACGAACATTTCATTGTATGGTGCAAAAGGAAAATATATGAAGATCAATACTTAGTGTTTTGCATAACTGACAGTTTTTTTTCATGTACATTTTTTATATTATTAGGAATAAAATATTATGTTTGTATGTAAGTACATTTTATCAAGTTAATTTCGCTGTAAATTGAATTAAATTTGTATCAAATTTTTTTTTTTTAAATTTATGGTTTTTTAAAGTTTTTAACTGCATATGTTTGTCGTCCACTGCAAATGCATACGTTGCATATATGAAAAATCCGTCCCTGAGTATATAACATAAACACATTTTATGTAATACACGTAAGCAATAATATACAAAAATATCAAAAATAAAAACAAAAAAGCAATATAATTTATGTAAGCTTCAAAACGCTTATTTGCTAGCTATTCGTGCATTATTAGATCCATGGATAAGTATTTCGACTACAAAATGAAAACTTTCAATAAACATATTATGTTATTATTTGCTTGAACTGACTTTTTGCGAACCGTAATACCATGTGGCCGAATATACGCCTTAATTATGGTGTTCCACTCTTACTGCAATTAGTATTTGTAAATAGAAGTTGATACATAGTTTATATCTTAAAGGTAATTGGTATTTATAATTAGATTAATTGTAGTAGACTATGGTCCACTAATCATGTATAAAATTTATTGTATTTCAATAAAAACCTTAAAATTTAATTTTTTACTAAATTAACGCTTCTTAAAAATGTCAACTGCCTTTTAGAGTGACTGTTTTAATCGAAAAATAATAACATTTGATAATTACAGCACTTAAATTCAATAAAAATCAAAAATAGTGACAATTTATTGATTTTTTACATTTTATTAGGGCCCTTAAAATTTTAACACAGAAATGGTTTATATGCTACGTTATATCTCCCGTAAAAGATTGTTTATTGTTTGAGGACTTAAATTGAAGCTTAAATAGGTAGCAAAAATTCCGTAACAAAAACTTTAATGTTTCTGAAAATTTCACACAAAAT